TATGTTTCTGCTTGTGGATCTGCTTTGAAATACACATTTTATTACACGGTAATTGGATTTTAACAAACCATGAATTATTTTCTGAAAATGTTGAAAAAATCCTGATTCAGGTCTGAACCAAAATGTAAGAGTTCCTTCTGGACCTATACTGCGTCATTCTACCAAGTTGTAGTTTTTGTGAAATACTGCAAAATATCAGCTGGACAAACACACGCAGACAAAAACCAAACCTCCCCGGAGGACAGATAACCACTACGCTTACAGAAGCTCAGGAGGTGAGACGTCAGCTGTTTCTGCCCGATGTTTACACGCGTGTTGTTTTATCTGACCTCGGTTGTGTGTTTGTGCAGGAGACGTTTGAGAGAGCCAAGGCCTGGGTGAAGGAGCTGCAGCGACAGGCCAGTCCTAACATTGTTATCGCCCTGGCTGGGAACAAGGCGGACCTGGCAGAGAAGAGACTTGTAGAGTACGAGGTAACACGCTCTCGTACAAACCCTCTTCATGAGCTTACAGCCTGAACTAAATCATGATGGACAGGTTACACACTGTCTGTTAAAATGTGTATACTATATCTAACACCAGTAACATCTGCAACCAACCTTTATTTTGATAACTGATGCAGTCGACAATATAGTCTTTGAAAAACTGAAAAATGTCCTGCAGTAGTTGAATTGTCGAAAATAAAAACCTGAAGTAAGGACCTGTTTCTTTTTTCAAATCACTGCTGATGTTACACTTGTGTTTGTTTTGTTGCAGGAAGCTCAGACGTATGCGGACGACACCGGCCTGCTCTTCATGGAGACCTCTGCCAAGACGGCCATGAACGTCAACGAGCTCTTCCTGGCTATTGGTGAGAGGCAGCAGAAACTAATCGTATGGATCCAGAAGTCTGGAATGAGTCCATTTTAATTCAGTGAAACTTGGGGGCTGCTACGTAGATTTACTCAGAAACAGTGGGTGGAGCAAACACCAGAGGGCAGACCTGAAACACAGCTTCAGCAGTGTCAATCAACCTGGAGCCACACAGAAAAACATTTTATTCCAAATTAATCTTTATAAATGTTTTGTTATTTACATGAATTCTCCAAATATTTTCTATTGAGACTCTGTCGTTAGTTTGGATTTTGTTAATTATAATATTTCACGTTTTCTTGTCACTGCAGCGAAAAAGATGCCAAAAACAGACACCCAGAACCCGACACATGCAGCACGGCACCGCGGCGTCAACCTCCAGGACCCAGACGCTCACTCTACCCGAGCCTGCTGCGGTGGGAACTAGACCTGCACTACTCCCTCCAGTACTCCCACCATCCTCACCACCACAGCCCGTCAACCCCCCCCCTTCAACCAACTTACAGGCGAGGGCCCGAGGTGGGGTAACCCAGTATCTACGCACCCACTTCCCCTCCATTCATCCTCCTGTCCAAGCAGACAGATCATTTAAAATGAGAGAATGAGGCGCGATGATTCACATCTGTGTCTCCTGAACAACTGAGATCCTGCATTTGGAAACAACGAGAGCAGGTTTATAGACGACTGAGACAGAGAAGTGCAAAATAAAGAATGTGGAAGACAGTGGCAAGCCTGTTGTAGTATTTAGCACTAATACTTGTGAGTTTTCTTTGGTTTTCACTCTGCCCTGCAACGTTTCAGTCACAGTTTGATTGTGTAAGAATGCACAAACTGAGCAGCACAGGCCGGCGAGTGGCTAAGACAGAAAGGAAAGGCGCAAGATAAAGAAGCCTGCTGTGGCTGCTTTCTCGTTTTGTCATCTCCTCAAACAGATCCCGCTGTGAATAACGCCACATATTGCATCTCTGGAATGATCCCATGATTCATAAAACCCCCGTGTCCTGCCTGACGTTCCCCGGTGTCAGTGGTACCATCCAGGGCCACGTCAGATAGGACCCATGGTACAGTTTGTCCAACATAAGTTAATTTGTGTGTAATTGTTGTCCAGTGTTTTGACTTAACTCGACCGCTTGTAGTGATGCTCCAGTGTCTCGGAGGAAACCCGGTCCTCTCTCAGTCCTTTAGTCCAGGCAGAAACTCAAACTCAGAATGTGAAGCAAATGGTTATAACTTAACAAACAGGTTTTCAGACAAACTTTTTTTCTGGCGTTTGTATTTTTTGTCTTTTATATTATTATTTCCGGTTATTGTCCACGTCAGACTCGTCAACAACAGGAAAATGTGGGGAACATTCACGCAAGGGGTGGAGCCTGGGTAATGCAGCAGGAGGAGGCGGGACATGACGTATAAATTCTGCTGTGGAAATAAAGCGTTTTAACAGTTTGGTATTTGTAGGGTGTCGGAAACGTCCTCAACCCACTTTCTCGCTGTGGATTTTACAGACATTTTCCTGCTGTTTTCTCACATGGACTCAATTGGACGTTTTCCCAGGGGGCTGCAGGGAAAGATCCAGAAAAATGTCCGGGGCAGTTGACCAGATATTTTCAGTCTCACATACATCCCTCTGGATTATTTGCGGACATTCTAACCTGGTATTAACATCTGATCACAAGTGGTCAGCGCTCAGTTCAGGTCTAAAGCGTGTCCTGAGATCTAATCACTCAAACAACATTCGTACATGGTCTGTGACACATGTGGCCACATTCTTCTCGCTGAATCAAAGCGCGCGCACACACACACACACTGTAGGACGTCCTCTGACCCAGTTTCACAGTGACGTAAACATGTAAACAATACAATGATTTGTTTGTGGCCACCATCACAATATCGACTCAATCGAATTTCTATTTAATTGATAAAATCTTTCTTGCAGCTGCTCCTGACTCTCTCCCCGACACACACACACACCTGTAAACTCAGACTACGTCCATATAACAACATTTGGTCTTCGCGAACACGAATGACGTACGTGCACGTAGAGCGGGGAAGTGAGACTCGATCACAAGAGGTCACCTTGATACCAGGTGTGAACAGGGCCAAAGACACAAAGTTTGCATGTTTCATGAAAGACTGGTGACGTTTTGGTTGCTCGAGTGCTCATGAGGAAAAAACGTGATCCTCGCAGGCTGCAGCTCTTAGCAACAATATAAACAGCAAAAACATAAACTTGAGTGAGTGTAGGAAGTCACATGTTTTGTTATGTATGAGCAGGAAACCGATTGCTGTGACTAATCATGCGTCTGTAGCAGAGAAAGAATCCATCAAATCCAAAGAAAGTAGTGATGCATCAAATGCTTAAAGTTCCTGGTCTGAGTAAAGTTCTTACTCTCAATTACTACAGTTGAGTCCATCTGAGATTAAATTAATGGATTCAGATAAATAAAACATCGGGGCTGGAGTCCTGGGAGATTTCAGGACGGAATTAAAAGCAGCAACAGGAAGAAAACTGAACATCTTGTGTTTACTCTGTTCTTCATCTGTCTCTTCATCTCCATGGTTTCACTGATTCATTTAACTTAATGCAATGCTCTTAAAACATAGTGTGTGTGCTTGGTTGCTGTCTAAAAGGCTTGGCTGAAGAAAATGAAGAAAGACGTAGAAGATGAAACCGCACATATACAAGAAAAAAATAAACAGAAGTGCCTATTCCCAGTTTTCTTTCTCTGTGAATCATGTTCTTTACGTGTGAGCTTTGTAGGCAAAGTGCAGGAAAAACCATCTCTAACATCGGCTCGTATCATAAACCAATAACACGTCACCCTGTCATTAGGCTCTACTGTATTGGCTTTTTGTATGGATGTAAAGATCTTGTTGAATACACTGTATGTTGTATATTATTGTCTTAATTTTAATGGAAGTGTATGTTGGCTTTAGAGCACACTTGTGAACCTGGAGTGTATCGTTTGAAGGACTAATAGATGTTATGAATCTGATTTAAACAAATACCGGTGTGCAGGAAAATGCTTTTGTTCCGCTTTATTTTCAAAGTCATGCAAATTCTAAAAATGTGGCAAACTAATAAAAAGCCTCAAAATTTAGGGAAACAAATACTATTCAAAAGATAAAATAATCTGTTCGTCCCTCTAAAGACACTAAGTGCTCATCAGCTCATCACAAACTAATAAATCCATCTGTTCATTCTTCAGCGATCACAGGTACGTTCAGTGTTCTGTGCAATTATGACAAGTCGTTAAAACAAGACTTGATTTCTCATCTGCACCTACAGTATGTAAAGTGTTCAATAAAGCTGTGAATGGCACTTTGAGTGCAGGATGCTTTTTCTTCAGAGAGGTGAAATGAAAGATTTTATAGACTGGCTGTAAAAGTAAGTACGATGGCGTTAATTCATTTTAAAAGAAAGGATATTTTAATTTTCACAGCCTCTTTAATCATTGCTGTTGTCTTGGAAGTTACAAAAGATAAAAAATTAAACAGAAAATCAAAAATCTGTTCTCTAAAATTTTCTTGGTCTGATTAAAATGTATAAAAAGTCGATCGCATTTGAACAAAGAAACATTTTCACGGCTGTAATTGCCCTTCTGTAGAAACTAAGTGCAGAAACTAACATTCTTGTCATTTACAATTTACATTTTAAGGACATTTTGAAGGATAAATCTGGGATCTTTCAACCTGAGATGTGTTTTCTTATGTTTTTGGGTACAAATGATTGATAAGGACAAAAATATTAGTGATTGAGCAAGAATGTTACACCTGACAACCACGAAACAGCTGATGCAGGTTGATAAAACGAGGCCGTACTCATTTCTCCCACTAACAAATTCATATCGTTATAAGTATCTGACAACATTACGTAAAGGATTCCCACAGAAAAAGCTGCTTTATCGTCTGTTAAAAACTAAATTGACAAAAACAGCAATCTTATCTTAAGTGCACTGGAGTTATTGATTTACTGCTAACTCGACCGTTTGTGTAATTGTGCGGTACTTACAAAGGTAAAATGCACAATGATGCAAACTAATTAACTTAACAAAACAGGGCAGCGGTTAAAAAGCAACCCCAGCTGTTTGTGGTGAAACAAAAAGAAGCTTAATCTTTTTTTAAAAAGTCCATATCTGTAGAAAACACGTATTGGCAGCTGTTTTGTGGTTGCTGATGAAACTTTTGTTGCTCAATTGTTTCTCAATTTATGTCCCAATTGATTATTATGCTTCCATAACACTACTTTGTATAGTTCATGTTGGAAGCCGTATAAAAAGCAAGCAGTAAGTACATGTGAAGTTTTACAAATCAATACAAACTGACGGAGAATTGTTCGTTCTGGGACAAATGTTGTGTGGGAGGAGTCCTCACCTTCTGCCTCATCTCACCCTGACACACTAATCCTCACACTCCTCATCCTCCACTGCAGCGTAGATGACCTGGTTCCTGCGTTTGATCATGGGGGTCGTGCCTCTGCTCCCAGGATTGACAGCTTCGTCACTGGTACGTTTTAAGATTCGTGCAGCGGATTCGTCCTCTTCCCCGCCCTCGCACAGTCCTTCACTTTCTGCTCCAGAGTGAGAGCGAGCTGCCGCTGGGGTTGAGTGGCACGGAGGTGGCAGCTTCATCAAGAGGGACAGGTTAGTGGGTGACACATTGGATTTGGGCTCAGGCAGAACCATACGGGCGGGGGTTTGGACGTCAGAGAGCTTGTCTCCCTTTGCTCCTGCTTTTGACCCGTTCTCCTCCTCCTCCTCTTCCTCCCACTCATCCTCTATGGTGATCTCATCAGGATTATATGAGCTTGATAGTCCCGAGGTGTCCGTTGGATATTCGCTCCGCTCGTCTGCGCTTCCCACACTGTTTCCATCTTCATCGTCCTCCCCTCCAGTGCTGCCATGAACATTCCCCACCTCACCTACCTGCCCATCCTGGGCGTAGAGGTCCGTGAGACCTAACGTGGCACAGAGCTCCGTCGTCTGAGGGTTGGTGTTGTAGCTGGGGGCGGCGTGGGGCTGGGGCTTGTTGGGGTCGTAGGCCGGCACGGTCCGGCTAAAGTTGTCTGGAATGGCGAGTTCACCGCTGAGAGCCTCCATCACCTGCATCATGGCGGCTTCTGAAGCTCTGAAGTCCCACCTGGTGGAGAAACAGTTCACATCGTAAAACAGCATGAATCTAAACTGTAAGCTGCTTCAGCAATCCATAAAAGATTTAATCTTCGACCTAACTTTTCATACAACTTCCTACGTGTTGATTATCTGCGTACCGTTCGTGCAGGCCATTATTCTCAGGGGGGTTCCAGGGGTGAGGGGTGGCCCTCTGTAGACTGTTTGTGGCCTTCAGAATAGCAAGCCACTCCGGATCATACTCAAGACCCTCAGATGAACCAGGTCTCTCTGGAACATCCACAATCTGCAACCAAAGTCAAACTCTCATCCCTGCACTTTAAATCTACTTGATCTCTGTAAATTCAGCTACAAAACTCTCACCTGTAAGAATTCCCTATAGGGCAAACATTTATCCAGAGACAGGAATTTGGTCACACGTGGGGCAGCATTACCTTTAGGCTGAAGACAGGAGAATTCACTGAGTTGATGAAATTCAGGGATGAATTAGATTTGTTCCCAGACTTGTTTCTCTAGGAGCTGCAGAAACAGTGTCACTCTCACCGGATGCTCCATGACGGCAGCGAATTTCACATGAAGATGAGCAGAGAACCAGTAGTTAGGCTGGAGGTGAGACAGGAGCTCCTCAGCCGCGGGACTTCCCAGAGTGTTTGACTCCACCTCCTGACGCAGAAACTTCTTCTTCCGCAGCAGCTCCCCTACGCTGCCATAGTAGTAGATCCCTCGAGGCCAGTCGTGGCTCATGAAAATGTCCATGGGCATCTGGATCTTAGTGGAGAATGAAACAAAACACAGTTTAGATAAATACAGGGATAAACTTTGAGAGCACTGCACATTAGAAACTGTGATATTTACCTGTTTTAATTTGAACACCTCAATGTTTCGGATGTGATACACACTTCTGAGAGTGTCAGGGTTGTACGGAGGGGATTCATGATGACCTTAAAGAGCAGGCATTCTTCGTAAATGTACAGTATCGTGTGTATGACTCATAGAATAATAAAAAATAAAGATGTACGACGCGACCTCCCATAGTATAAAAATGAATATCTCAGATACGGGTGCTGCCATCTTGAAGAAGAATTTATTTCACGTAAACTTTGACGATTAAGTTTGGTCCATGTCCCACCCACTAACATGGAGGAGGCAGAGTTTATGACCAGCCACCAGGAGGCATAGTGATGGTTTGACTTCACTTTTGGGAGTTGTCATATCGTCCATCTTCATATACAATGTATGATGTGACTGAAATCATTTAAAGAAAACTCACCTTTTCTGTAGTCACGTGATTTGAAGATTCCAGATAAGCCACCAATTCGAATCCCTTTGTAGCGAATAACACCAGCGTAACCTAGCAACATACGGTCAAGTTAAACCTGAGAATAAACCGATAGGCATACACTCAATTTATTCTACTGGTTCTTACCCAGATAATAAATGTTTGGTGCCACCCAGCCCCCATACGAAAGCTCCTGCAGGTGGTTGGAGGCCTCGTGGTTCCCTCCGATGAAGATGGTGAGAACTGGAGCCTTCTTCTCTCCAGAGTAGTATCTGCAACAGACAGTGACGCTCCAGTTTTGAATGCTCTCACTCATATTTTACAGTTTTTTTTAAACTTCAATACGTAACAAAGAACTGACTTGTAGAAGGTTTGCATCGTTCTGTACTTGGCTGGCACTGCCATGCATTTCATGTCTCCCTCATTTCGCACAGCCTGGAAGTCACCACAGCACAGCAGCAGGTCCACTTTCACCCCTTCCTTCTTCTCCAGGTAGGCGATGGTCTCGTAGATCTTGTCAAGCTCCCCATGGCAACAGCCTTCTACTGCGATCTTCATGCTGCACAAAGAGGTGAGCTGCGGATTCACAGAGAAGGTCACATTCACAGTGAGGCTCGGTTGGTATTCTGCGCTCCAGACAGAGACCTGCTGTTTAAAAGTAATATTTTGATGATGAGCTGAGGAACAGCCAGACAAGTATACAACACAGCTGAGGATATTGTGTATAATGACAGAGCTGCAAAAACTAAACCATTATTCGACTGACAAGTTTTGAGAAAGAAAAATGAAACGTTTTTTTTGTTCGTTACTTTAAGTTTATGGATGATTAAGTTAATTTATAATAGCAATGATGATAATTAAAATGTGAAGCTGTAAGTAGGAACATTTTTTTCTCACGTATACCTGTTGATTCATGTAAAATGATCTGTCTCAACACAGAGCATGAAGAAAATATCAAGAGAAAGAACCTGAAAGTATATTCTTCTACATCTTTTGACTCAGAATGAATGAGTGAGTGAGTGAGTGAGTGGACGCCTCTGTGACACACTGAGAACCCAAACATCATGAAACAACACGGACACGTCTTCAAACACGTGAATTAGCAAACATGCAGCTCGTGTTGTGTCTTGTTGGAGATTTTTGTTTATCTGAAAAACTTGCTCCAACAAAGTGAAACCTGGACACATGGAGTTAATGCTACATCGACCTAGCATTAGCACGTGTGTGTCTCTGTGTGTGTGTGTGTGTGTCAATAAGAGCTTTGGTTAGCATTTACTCTTCTCCGTGTCCTCACGTTTAATCACAGCTGATCTCGAGTGACCGCTGAACACAGCGGAACAGAACATGCAGTAGCAAGCTAGGCTAATAAAACGCCACAACAACGTCACATCGAGGCGCGTGTTTTGTCCCGCATTCAGACCACAACACAACAGACACGCACGGTGGAGACTTACAGTTGCGGGTGAAGAGCTGGGGGACGCGTGTGTCTGGTTCGCAGAGTCGTTCTCTCACAGTCTGAATCTAAAAATCATGTTTTCGCTGCTTTCACACATGAATTTTCCCACCTCGCGTCTGTCGCCCACTGCGCATGCGCACAACGTCACCGGCTTAAGTAAAAACTAAACGTGACACTCGGTAGCAGATTCGACCAAAATAAAAAAATAAAAAATATATATACAGATTATTTTTGATTTATATTTACATGTTGTATAGTAAATCAATAGAGTGACATCACTTCACTTTGTTTGTAAATAATTGCTTAAAACTAATTACACAGGGAAGCACGTGAATATCTAAATTCAACTGGTTTTAATGGATCTTGTTTCTTATATGTTGTTGTTGTTTTGTATTAATGTTTGTGTTGTTTTGTCTCCATGAATTTATAATGGCTTTATTGTAAACAACACCCGCACGTGTTGAAGTCATTGTGGAACTAGGAAAGTTAAACTATGAAATTCATATTTTAACTAATTGTCTCCTTGAAGGGTAAAGCACACACGTCTCCACAGATAAAACATGANTATACAATCCTGTACAATACCCTTAAACATCTGCAGCTTTGTGAAGTTAGAGTCGTCGGTTTTTGTCACGTCAACATCTGGTGCATATTGTGGGCGTACAGTTTGTATCAGATTGCATTTCGTTGCATGCTGTTCCTGTTATTTCGTCCATGTTCTGGAGGTGTACGTGGCTGCCAGTTCCGTGTCCAGCACAACGCCCACAGAATTCCTCAGGGAACGAGGTTGTGAACGTCTTGAAGATCCACAGAACGTTTCCGGACTGGATTAGAAAAATTCCCCTGACGTGAGCTTTTGGAAACTGGTCCAAACGTCAAACACTGTAAACGTTAAGTTGAATAGGTTCCCTCTCTGCTAAGTTGAGTGAATCCAGTCAGGAGGCGCTGTTGTCTCTAAAGACGATCAGGAGGAAACAGAGAATAGGCTTCATAAGAATTATGATCCAGCTCATCAACACATGGACGTTCTGACTCATTCATTCTAAACCCTCAGTCGTCATTCCTACCTCATTACTTCCGCTAGATTTTAATGAAACTTGCTGGAAGGATACGACATAAAGAAAAATTCCTGGATCCACATACATCCTGAATTGTACTGGGTTCTTTCTTCTCTTAATATTGCTAGATGGTTTCTTTTTGACATTTTTAACAATTTCCCGAGGAATAACATTCAGAACTTACTGAAATAAATCAGACGTACTTAGGGAGCAGGTTTCTACCAGTGTGTGCAATTTCGTTTGGCTTCGTTGACTTTAAGGGGACTGGTGGGCTTTGGGCGGAGGTACCACACCAACCTTAAACCGTCTCCTGCCTGTATATTTCACAGTTGTGACACTATAATGTATAAAAATCCATCCGCAGACATTGACTAACGCTGAAAATCGTCCTCTGTGGTGTCTCCAGAGACACATTATCACCAGCCATGCTGCCGCAGCAGGTAGTTAAGGAGCCAAACAGCCTTTGACCATGTGAAGGCAGAGTGTGAGTATACCAACAACCTCTTCATCTGCATGTCAGCTTAATTGTCATTCAGACATAACAGCCTGCGCTGGAGCATATGGGTCCGGAGGAAGAGAGCGCAGAAGGTGTCGACACATGGGCGCTTCATGAGCCTAACCAGCAGGAAATCTCAGAGGAACCTGGGAAATGTGATTGCACTGAAACTGACAGCTTCCAGGCTTATAGAAAGAATTCAGCTGAGCGATTACACAAAATCACTCCTGAACATCCTGAAAAAGCTGCTGTGTTCATAACAGAAACCCAAAATAAGTGTACTGTGTAAAAAAAAACGAGTATAAAAAGCTGATGTGACGTTGCACGAAAACAACAACAGTGCTCGATGTGTGTTTGCTTGTTGTGGATCTCCACATGCAGGAAGTGTTACCCGGGGCAGTGAACACACAACTAATGAGATCTTACCTGCATCGCCTGGGGCTCTGCAGCTGCATGAGACTCTCTGCACATTATGTGTGTGCACAATATTACATGTGTGAATATAAACCCACGTGTCAGGTATCGTAATTTAAAATTTGAATTGGAGCTGCGGCGTGTTGCAGACGAGGTTTCGGCGGCAGATTGAAATTAACTCCATAAAATATATTTTTTAAATACATGTTGAAGTTGTTGATTGCAGAAACATTTTACGTGGGAATGAACACAGACTGAATAAATTTCCCATTGCAGACAAAATCCAGATGTTCGTAATCACTACTTGAAACTACCTTGAAGTTAGAATAAGAAGAATATCTCAGTGCACACAAGACTTGTGATGTTAGTAGAGTAGTGAATGTCTGCTCACTGGACTATTTCAAACCTTAATCAAGAGTTAACAATGATCATGAGTCACCGGCTTGAAGATTTTCTTGAATAACTTTTGTTCTGAAGGTCATAGAGACTTGGAAGTTGGTTCCAGCTGAACTAATGTGGGGATGCCCAATCCATTGGTACCATCCCCGAG